CCCCAAAACCCCAAAACCCCAAAACCCCAAAACCCCAAAACCCCAAAACCCCGTCTTTCATAAAAATAATTGAATATTTAGAAATATATCATAAATTAGTCTATGGATAGCCAGATCAAGGAAGAAGCTGAAAAGGTTGAAGAATTAGAAGAGGAAGAACAGGATGAAATCAAGCTAATAGATGAGCTACAAGAGCAAGGGATCGGTATGGGAGACCTCAATAAGCTCAAGGCTGCAGGAATCTGCACCATCTCTGCAGTGCTTATGACTACAAAATAAGGAGCTACTGAATATTAAAGGAATCAGTGAACAGAAATTAGAGAAGATTTTTGATGCAGCTCAGAAAGTATCCAACTGAGGGTTCAACACTGGCCTTCACTTTTTGGAAAAGAGGAAAAAGATGGTCTTTATCAGTACAGGCAGCTCCAATTTTGATACACTTCTTTGTGGAGGAATTGAGACTCAGTCTATCACTGAAGTTTTTGGAGAATTCAGAACAGGAAAAACCCAACTTGTTCACACAGTTTGTGTGACAGCTCAACTCCCGAAATCAATGGGCGGCGGCCAAGGCAAGGTTATCTATATAGATACTGAGTGTACTTTCAGACCTGAGAGGATCAAAAAGATAGCTGAAAGATTTGATCTTGACCCTGAAAAGACCCTTGAGAATATTTTAGTAGCAGAAGCATGGACTGTTGATAGATTAAACCAACTGATCTCTCAAGCAGCAGGTCTGATGATGGAGGACACTTTTAGTCTAGTAGTAGTTGACTCCATCATGGCTCCTTTCAGAGTTGACTTCTCAGGAAGAGGAGAACTTAGTGAGAGACAACAAGTTCTTGGTAAGACTCTAAGTAGACTCCATAAGATTGCAGAGCAATTCAACGTTGCTGTCTTTATGACTAACCAAGTCATGGCGGATCCAGGAATGAATGCAGCTTATGCAGTAGATCCCAAGAAACCTATAGGAGGGAACATCATGGCCCATGCCTCCACCACAAGGCTCTATCTAAGGAAGGGTAGAGGAGAGCAAAGAGTCTGAAAGATCTTTGATTCACCCTTAATTGCAGAAGGTGAATGTGTTTTCCAAATTACAGATGGAGGTATTGCAGATGTTGCTGACTAAAATTTCAATCTGACTGATAACTTGGGGTTTTGGGGTTTTGGGGTTTTGGGGTTTTGGGGTTTTGGGGTTTTGGGGTTTTGGGG